ACTCTACTTTTGCCCAAGGTATAAAGTCAAAATAAGTTATGTCTTCATTGAAGGAAGATACCAATTACCAATACGTTGCATTGCTTCAATAACAATATCTCTAAGTATTCCTAAAAATTTTTATCACCAGCTAATAGATTATACTGCCTGAGACTTTGTGAGGAGTCTTATTTAATAGAATCTGATCAAAAAAATTATTTTATGAGATAATATTTTCATCCTTTATATATTTACTAGCATATATAATTAAACTCTGTCTCCAGTTCTAGATTTCAAACTAGAAAATTGAGTATCATGTCTTTTATAATCATTGCATCCCCAGTATCTAATGTAGAATCTAGTTAACAACGTATATCCAATAGTTCTGTTTTATTTTTAAACCAAAAAATTGTGAATTAAGTAATGATTGCATGGCAGAGACCAAATATAATTTCTAATTATTTTTTAAAGGGTTTTAAAGAGTAGAAAAGAGTATCTTTGTAATATTACAACAAAGGTAGATCTGCATCTGTCATTAAATGAAAAGATAATTTTCAGAGGGGGGAAAAAATCCCAAATTCTTTTTTTTCTTTTATCTTTTTGTTAATTAAAAAAATAAAAAAGAGTAAGAAGAGGAAATCCAGGAAACACATATAAGAAATGTACAGGAAACAGCAAGACCTGAAAAGAAAGTCCAATAAAAATAGGACAATCCTGGGAAATGGCTTAAAAGATGAGCATAATAAAACCTTGGTCAATAGAACAAGGTGGAATTCGGTGTGCTTGGGCAGGTGACCAGGATGGCAGAGATCGCAAAATGTATACTCATATCTGTTTCCATTTGTTATTTAGTAATTGAATCCATGTCTGTTATCTAGCATCGCCTGTACCAACATAAATTCTATGTTTATTCCCCAATCTATTTTTTTCAAGGAAGTGTGAGGATAGGTGCCAAGTTCTGACAATTGTGGAGTGTGCAATTTGTGAGACATATCCTTACTGTGTCCGTGGTTCACACAAAAGGTTTGCACATGTCTAGGGAACTGTAATCCCAGAGTCACATAGTTCAAATCCACTAGATTTTTTGCAGAAGAAGAGTGGGCAATCTCCTCCATGGAGATTTACTGCCTCTGGAAAACCTGCTGGAATGTCAGCTATGAGTTCGTTCTGACTTGACATTAAACAACAAAACATAATAACCTAAAAGATTGGCAGATCAAACCCATTCAGAGGGTATCGTGGAATAAAGAAGACCTTCTGATAGTCTTCTGTAAAGCTTATCATCTAGAAAATCCTGTAGAACAGTTGTACTCTGTCACACACAGGTATACACCATGAGTTAAGAATGACTAGAGAACACAATTTGGTTTATGATTTTTATCCTTACAAGGGATAAGACTTTTTCATACCTTTTCATTTTAATTCCTCCTAGTAAGAATTGTATATAATTTGGCTTCAGTTATAGCAACTATCTCAGATTTTAAGACAACCTTAGAAGCTGATATATAAGAAGGATATTTAAAATATTATTAAACAGATATTAATACAGTATGTCTTGTGTTTCACTTCCTTTTTTTAACTCCTGATTTTTGATCAAGGTGAATAAAATGTAGGATAGAATTTGTTTCAGTTGATTAGCACTGTTAAATTAGATATTACATATAAACTGTACATATTGACTTTAGAGTATAAAACTATTTTTACCAAAGGTTTTTTATATTCTTTGCAAGTATAATGTTGTAGAACCTACTACATGAAAATATAGATAAATAGCAACAAATTTGCAAAGCAGCAGAGATACATTTAATTTTTAAAACCCAATTTTAAATTAGGGTTTTAATAAATCTAAAAGATACATATGTAAAATAATACATTAAAGGGTATTCTGAAAATCTAAAAGCTCACACAATTCTCTAAGAAAGTTCCCTTTATCTATCTATATTGTAACACATGTCCTGTGAGCTTTATAAAATCAAAGCTGATTGTTTTGAATTAGACTTATACCTTGATGGCATAAAACATTAACTACCAAATTTAGTATTATTTGAATAGTACTAAAACAGAAATTTTCCTCATTACATAAATGTTCATTAGCTCCATTTTATATACCCCCATTTTCTTTTTTTTTTTTTTAATGTGAAAGCATTGCTTATACAAATGTAAGGGGGAGAAATGAGAAAAGGAAAATGGCAAAATTGTATCCTTTTAAATTATATATAACCAAAATCTTATTAGAGTTAAGACTAGGATCTCTTCTATAAACACCAAGACTTATTGTTGTTATGTGTGGTCGAGTATGACTCACAGCAACAAAAAACCAGAGATCTGAACCCTGTCCTAACTTCTGTCATCCTTACAATTTCTCACAAGTTTGAGCTCATAATACTACGATCTTCCAAATTATCACTAACTTGAGCAGGAAAATAATTTTTTTGCAATAACATAGACAGCTTTTATGAAACTTTAAAAATTGAACATTATTCTTTATCACACTATATTTATTACAATATTAAAATACAGTAGGTTTCTTTACTTTTTCAAATAATTATTTAATGAAATACAACAAATTCAAATTTCATTTAAAAATCTTGTATTTTACGGAATATTTTAAAAATAAGCTATTTTTCCAGCCTATTTTGTTAAGTTCAATTTGTCTAAGGAGGATTTTAAAAGTGTGTTAAAATCTGATTAGCATTTGAGTGATTAAAAAACATAGTATTATCCAAAATTGTATGAGTTATGTTATTTGAGGTTATGATTTGTTGAGTTGAAATCGACCCATAGCTGAGCCTCCAGTGGCTTTTCAGAGGCATTTAATCACAAGGAGATTGCCCATCCTTCTCCGGTGGAGTGGCTGGTGGCTTCAAACCACATACCTATGGGATTGCAGTGCAGCTTCTTGCCACTAGGCCACCAGAACACCCATATATTAAAATAAATAAATAACAAAAATAAATAAAATCAACAATCAATTTTTTTCCCAGCAATAATTTATGTAGTTCTCTAAAATTAATTAAGCCTGGGGATACCATCATCCTTGAAATGTGTTTTTAATGCAAAAACACCCTACTCTTGAAAACCCCTTGGTCATTTAATTTTGAATTTAATTTAAGACATTCAATGATTAGATAGTTTCCCCCTAAATTTCTAGATTCCTTCTTAATTTTTTTTGGTGTCTTTGGTTTTTTGGGTTTTTTTGGGTATTTTTGTTCAGGGGTCTGATTACAAGAGATTTTTTTCCTTAGTAAAGTGTATGTTGTAATTGATGATAAAGACTGTCTTTAGAATACTGACATCTAAATCACATCACTATTAACTCTTGATACTAAACTCATATTTCCTTCTGTTTGCTGAATTACTTTAAATTAATGATATGCAAGAAGTTCTTAATTATGAATTAAGCCTCATAAATGTGATCATTGATCACTGTCCAGACTTGCATATCCTATACACTTTTTCCAAGAAAATATCATATATATGTGTTCAATTGCTTATAGAAGACCATGACTGTTAATCCAAGAATTGCTATTTCCCTCCATGTTAGTTTTTCTCACCCTAAATATCACATTATATCTTCCAGTCCAGCTCTATCTAGGACTTCCTAGTTTATCACCCAAGATTTTGCTCTTCTTTTCCTCCAGGATATTGGGAGGTGTCCACTTCTGACGACCTAGAAAGATTGAAGATGTGTGCTTCACCAAGTGCAAAGATAAAGTAGAGAATTCATGAAGAGGTACAGAGAGAAACAGAAGTCAAAGCTGAAAGTAAAATGGACATAATTTTAATGACTTTTTTAAATTTTGTGCGTTGGATTCAAACAGCAAACTGTGTGCACTCAACTGTTATCACAATGTTGTCAAGAGGTCTGTGTCTTTTTACCATTTTACACACAATTGTTCATTACAGCATGTTATCAGCCTCGTGGAAACCAGGGGTGTGGCATGGTAAGCAGTGGTGGTAGTGCACCTAGCTTTTATATTAACTAACTTGAAAATATTTCTCTTCTATGATTCCTTTTTTTCTTGATAAAAATAGTTTTCACCAAACGTTGGTGGTGCACACGCACTACCATTCATGCTTGACATCACACCCCTGCCTGGAACACATGTTCTTATTTTGTTGATAAAAAGTATTACAAAAATTTCCATACAAAAACTATTTTCATAGAAATCTTGCATTTCCACAAATAAACCTGAACATTTTTTTTGAAAAAAAACTGCTCAAGGATTTTGTTCATTTAACATTGTGACTGTATTGATAAATGCAGTCCATTTCAAAGTTCTCCGCGCATACTTTCTATAGATGAACAGTCCCCTTTCTCTTATCACTGAGATCTGCCCATGCTCCACCAAGTTCATGTAGGGCAGGGATGAGGGTGTGGATTGGCATATCGGAATGTTGGGATGAAAGCTTCAGTCTTCCTCATAGCCCACAGTATTCAGCCCTCCTTTTACAATTTACAAGAAAGATGGCATAATAGCATCCTCACTTAACATAGAATCACTGAGCCAACTGTTGCTTTCTGATTTTGATTATGGGGAAAGTGTTGGTGAAAGTGTTTATGGGGGGCAGGGGGTGGTAGGGATCTGGATGAGTTGCATGTTAAAGCTCCTGCCTTGATGAGTTTAAGAAACAGCATTATTGCCTTCGTATTTGACATCTCTATTTCAATCAATGACACAGACTGTTAAAATAAACCAAAATGAAAATGAAACTGATGGTGATCTGCTTTATATTCCACTTGCCATGAAATTCAGGTTTGTTTTGAATTACATTTTCCCACATCCTATGAGCACATATTGTCTATTCAGATGATCATTATACTGAGTAGTTGGGGGCTAGTAACATCATCACCTCTATTATCTGGGAGTTCAGAAGATTGCACTGTTTCTTGCAACACTACAGTTTTTGCTGATTCCAAGTATTTATTTTTTTTTATTATTCTTAATGATTCTTTTACTGGTTACCCTGTCGGGCATTGATATTCCATCTCCTGGCAACAGTTGGACTTCAAAAGAACCTGTAATTTTTCCTCAGGACTGCATTTGAAACCAGCCACAAAATGTGCATTTAATATTCACTCAGAAGAAGGGAGGAACCCATGATAAACAGTGTAACCCCGTGTAACTTGGTTGATCCGTGATGCTTGTAAATCAAGTCTGATCATTGCAACTGCTTAGATCACAAAGTCTCTAGTTCATAGACACAGCGGCATGAGGTAACTCATTTTTTATTTTGCACAGGTTGCATATTTCCACAGGAAACATTCTCGCTAAATTGTTTGAAAAAAGACGACAGTTTGTGCTTGGGTGTTCGGCCTCCCAGCTTTACGCCATGGTTTCTTTACCTGGTAACCTTCTGTCGTTAAATGTGTGCATGTTGATAACTTCTTCTGTTTTCACAATAACTGGGGCCTGTGGCTTATGTTTTAACCGACGCTGGCACTTCAGGGACATCCTCAGTTCTTCCACCATGGCGCTACAGAAGGATCTCTACAGAAGAGCACAGAAATGTAAATGTTACAAAACCAATAAACTGCTACTCCCCAAGAGCAGTATTAAAGTAATTCTCAATATTCTTATCAACAGAGAAGTCTTGATATTTGAAAAAGAGTTAAAACAATAATTACACCTTGAATACACAACATACAAAAATTAAAATAAGTTATCAAGGTGGTTTGAATTAAAGAAAAGTTCCATATGATAGTAATTAATGAAATGCTAACTATTAAGACATATATTACATATATATTGAATAAGATTTTCAGATGACATTCTATAACACAGATTGGTATAAAGGATAGCATCTATCATAGAACTTAAATACATACACAAATACACAAATCTTGAACTAGAAATCCATTCTTAATTGTAACAAAAATTATAATAGATCACTTTAAAAGAAAAAAGAAGTACACATAACAGGTACAAAATCTCCTTTAAACATGGACTTTTCATTGAAGACCTCAAAACAGGACAGAAAGAGAGAAAAAAATTAATAAGATTTCTGATATTTCATTATATATCTTTTGTGATTATGCCTAAAAAGCTTTAATAATTATCAGAAATAAATGTGATTAAATCATAGCTGGAAAATTTTAACATTTTAAAAACTATGCAAATACTGATCTCTTTTTATAATCAGTTAACCTATCTCATGAGGATATAAAGTGAATATAGGGATATGTTTGTTTTTAATTCTAACTTCATTGGAAATAGATATGCTGGAAATTCTATGTCTGAGTATATTAAAACAGGCTCTTCAAGATTCACATTACAAACTCATATATATGAAACAAAATTGTCACCATGAACCTATCTGAGATACACATTGCTGGTTGCATTTAAATCAGATTCATAAACTAGTTGTACATTATACTAAAACTCGAATGGTTTCTCCATAAGAATAAAAAGGTAGACAACAACCAAAGATGTGGACAAGTATGAAAAATTATAAAAAGTGATGTAAAAACATAATGAAATAATGCATGCGAGTGAGTGACGATATTTTTGCTTTAGATGCCACTGGTTTTATGTACTAATTCCCGGAGAATGTTATTGCATAAAATATTTGATCACTATTATGTGCCATCTTTTTAAAAGGATTTTACAAACAATTCTTTTGTGAAATTTAAAAGAATATTTTTTAATGAGGCAGAAAATGGGTTCCAAAAAAGGTAAGTGATGTTCTTCATCTCACACCACAAATTCTAGCTAAATATTCATGTACAGAGTTCTGTGGCTTTTCTGTTTGCTTTAGTATCTTACTGTCCACTCTTGGCTAGATTTTTATTTACACTTATGGTTCTTTGAATAATCTTCCCAATTCTACCACTACCCTCTTCCTTCCTAAGAGGCTAACAAATATAAAGCCAATGCTTAATTTTTAATACCAATTTTTAAATATCAATGTCTAAGAAACAGGTTAAATCCAAATATCCTATTTTTCTGAATGTCTCTATATACTCTTCTCTTTCCATTAATGGCCTGTTGACTTCTTCCATTTTTTTCATGCACTACAGTTTCATCTCTTATATTTGTAATTAAAGAGATTCATTATTTTCACTAGTTTTATTTTTTTATCACTTCACTATTTTATACACATTATTATGTATTTTTTCTACACTAAGGATGTTATTTCCTCTAAGTCTCCTATAGAATGCTCTCACCGAATTGCAAAGACTCAAATTATTATGGCACAGACTGTACCCACATGTGTTTTTTAAATGTCACCTGAATGAACAATAATAGCAACACATAAGCCTAATTTCATTTTTATTTAAAGATGCTTTATGTTCAATTGTTCAAATAAGTTTTGTTCCATTTTCAGAGTGAGAAGCATAGAAAAATGCATTGCATTAAAATAATCAAATCAGGTAAAGTTTAACACTTATTTAATAATATTAATTTAATGAAAGTATTAATTAATTTATTAGCTCTGGTAGAGGAGTGATGTATAAAAGTCCTCATTAACTACAGTTACTGTAACGTTATTTATTGTGTGTTGTTAAATAAAAACATTCTGAAATTCATGAATTATGTTTCTATTAAAGGGTTTACATGGCACCTGACAGCCAGTATATGTGTTGCTTAATACGTACTATTAGATGTACTTATTAAGAACAAGATGATAATGATGATGAAGATGGTGATGATGACAACACTGTAGAAATGGAAAAATCAGTCTCCAAAAGGGGGAGGGATACATAGTCTTGAGGTAACTTATTCTTGGCTCTCTGTTGAAACATTTAACAGAAGAATTGATTAGATGACATGATAAGGTTATATCTTAATTCCACATGACACAAATGTTATAGTATGTGAATGACATTGAATTGTTCAAAATAAATCTTTCCCCTAAAACCAATACATACCCTAAAATGTTAAGTAACATTTGAACATCTTCTGACTATCTCAATAATCACTCTAGCTATATAATTTTAAAAAGATAATACATAAAATTTTATTTAATTTTGTTTATAGTAAGAGAGCAGCCTAAGTATATTATTTTATTAGGGAAAAGTAAATATACAGACACAGTCACCTATGAGATGGTTTAGCATTAAGCTCTTTATACTTACCTCAGGCTATAAATAATGGTATATAAAACTATTTTAAAGCAATTTTATGGAACTGTACATTTATAATACTGAATAATATAAACTATAAGTAAAAAAATCCATTTCAATCCAGACAAATAAACTTGTATAGAAACCATCTTAAATGAACTGAATTTAAAAATTAGACTCTAAGAATTAAGACTTTTTTCACTTTTATTATTCCATTTATTATATAAAGCTACTAGAAAATTAAGATTTTCATTTAGATTTGTCTTCAAATTATAATTCTGAAAATATATTTTTCTGGATAAACTTAACTTAGTCAGCTTTTATGTCAAATATATTTTAATTTACCCAAAAAAATCGTTTCATCTGATAATCACAGTCAGACAACAGTTTCCTTACTTAAGACTATACTATTAAAATCCTTTATCTTGTTATGCTGATTCTAAAATTTTATCACATTTAACCATTTCTGTTTTATAATGGAAGCTTTAGTGTCTTGCCATTAAAAAACTGAAAGATTTGATGTTAAATTTTAGAATCATTATAACAACAGAAATTATTTTAATAAAACTCCTAGTATTTCATATGTAGCACTAGTCCATAAACATATTCTTCTTTTTTTAACTTTGAAATGCAAATTCAATTACTAATTATCTATAAAAATATAAAATGGAACCTATAGATATCTTAATGAAATCTAGATGTTTCCCCATGTTTAATTGTTGTCAAAAGTCACTTCCTTTTTTTGAAAGATATGTGTTTCGTATGTTGCATTTTAATTGAAATTCTTTCTTTTAAAGCTTTGGTATTAAATATAAAATAAGGCTTTGAAAAACCCAAGTGCACTGGAAACAGGAATTCATCATGTTAAAATAGTAAAAGAAAGAAAAGGAAAGAGTTCAAGAGACAAGAAAAGAATAAAAACATAAGCAAGACAGACAATATTTATATAAGCTATTGTGACTTTCAAACCACCCCTTTCGAGGTAAGGAGCTCCTTAAGTTGTGTCATTAAGTAAGTCCTTCAGTGTGAAAATAACACAAACAGCTTCTCCACATTAATATGACACACTACAAAAAGAAAAAAAAATGAAAGGCACAAGGATACTAACCATTATTAAAAACCTCTTTTAGTAAGTTTCAAAAGTTTACTAAACTGTGTCTGGATGGTAGGGTGGCACTAACCAAATAGAAGATTCCTGAAAATGAAAATTCAAATCTTTGAGCTGTTAGCATGTATAATTACATTTAAATAAGTAAGATGCATTAGAAAACTCACTGCATTTAATGAAGCTACTCTTTGTTTACATATGCCTATTACTTGAAATGATAAGGGTTAAACACCATTACAATATGTCCTTGTTATATTTACCTTATATTTTGAAAGCTGTAGTTTGAATTTTGAGTATAATTAGCAATACATAGTCCACAGAGAAATGTTCTCAAGAAGCTTATCATTTGTACAGAATCATGAATTATGAGCAACACATCTCTTAAATTTATACATATGATTTTTACTGGCTAACATATGACGACACTCGGCATTACACAGAAATTGTAAAAAATACTATATAACTTTACTTGGAACACAGTCACATTGAACACCGACATTTATAAACTTCACATTTAAATTAATCATTACAATTAACAATGCCTTTCATAAACAACTGATGAAAAGTACCCAGTGATTTTCTCCCATTTTAAGGTAATCACTGTCATGTTGAACATATGCATTCATCATGCATCCAAAGGAGACAAATCATAAAATATTACATATTTCTACTAAAACTAGTTTTAGTATTAATTTTAAAAAAAGGAATTTCAATTTTTTTATCTTACTATCTTAATCTTTGATGGTATACATCTTTAAAACTTGTTATTCCAAAATGTAATGTAAATTCAATCAGTTTTTGTATTTGCTACTTGAAATTATACTAAATATTTCAATGTTTTTTATCAGACTTTCTAATATAGATTGGCATGTTTCAAAAGGACTGTATTGTTTGTCATTTAAATTATTTGATAAATGATGACAGAAACCTAGTCCATTCTGAATCTCCTTACTAATTAATTTCTGACTCGTCAAGTAATTTTCTCAAATAATGCTGAATTATAAGTAGATAAAACACTCTCTGTGATCATTTATAGAATATTGTAGCATGTTAGGTACCAACTAAAATGGAATTAAAAAAGTCCCTAGAAAGTATTAATTTTCAAAATGAATATTGGTATGTGAAATAATGAAAATGAAAGTCATTTTAAGTGATTCTGAATTAAACTAATTCTAATGTACAGGATTAAAAATATCAAATGGCTAATGCTGCACATCCAGAAATATGAATTGGCCTAAGGCTACGTAGACATAATAGTGAGGCCATGACATATAAAAAAGTATTCATTTAGACACTCCTGATAAACATATACAGTA